TCTGTTTGAGTCTGTGTGAGTCTGGGTGAGTCTGTCTGAGTCTGGGTGATTCTGGGTAAGTCTCTCAGAGTCTATTTGAGTCCATGTGGGTCAGTGTGAGTCTGTGTCAGTCTCTCAGAGTCTGTTTGAGTCTGTGTGAGTCTGGGTGAGTCTGTCTGAGATTGGGTGATTCTGGGTGAGTCAGTGTGAGTCAGTGTGAGTCCGTGTGAGTCTGTGTGAGTCAGTGTGAGTCTGGGTGATTCTAGGTGATTCTAGGTGAGTCAGTGTGAGTCAGTGTGAGTCAGTGTGAGTCATTGTGACTCTGTGTCAGTCTGGGTGAGTCTGGGTGAGTCCGTGTGAGTCGGTGCTAGTCTGTAGCAGTCTGGGTGAGTCTGTGTCACTCTGTTTCAGTCTATGTGAGTCTGTTGGAGTCTGTTTGAGTCTGTGTGAATCTGTGTGAGTCTGTGTGAATCTGTGTGAGTCAGTGTGAGTCTGTGTGAGTCAGTGTGAGTCTGTGTCAGTCTGGGTGAGTCTAGGTGAGTCCGTGTGAGTCTATGTTAGTCTGTAGCAGTCTGGGTGAGTCTGTGTCACTCTGTTTTAGTCTATGTGAGTCTGTTGGAGTCTGTTTGAGTCTGTGTGAGTCGGGTTGAGTCTGCGTGAAGTGTGTTGCATTGATTATGTGAAGGTGATATTCGTGAGTCCATGTGGGTCAGTGTGTTGCATTGCTTTTGTGTGAGTCCGTGTATGTGTGTCAGGAGGGCCGTATCAAGTGTGTTGTCAGAAGACCATATCAAGCGTGTTGCATTGCTTCTGTGTCTGTCCGTGTATGTGTGAGACAGACCTGTGTGAGTCAGGAGGGCCATATCAAGTGTGTTGCATTGCTTCTGTGTGAGTCCGTGTATGTGTGTGTGTGTCTGGGTGAGCCTGGGTGAGTCTGTGTGACTCTGGGTGAGTCTGTGTGACTCTGGGTGAGTCTGTGTCAGTCCATGTGGGTCAGTGTAAGTCTGGGTGAGTCGCTGTGAGTCCGTACGAGTCCCTGCAGTTTGTGCGACTCTGTGTGAGTCTGGGTGATTCAGGGTGATTCAGGGTGATTCAGGGTGAGTCTGTGTGAGTCTGGGTGAGTCTCTGTCAGTGTGAGTCTGTGTGAGTTAGTGTGAGTCAGTGTGAGTCTGGGTGAGTGTGGGTGAGTCCGTGTGAGTCGGTGCTAGTCTGTTTGAGTCAGGGTGAGTCTGTGTCACTCTGTTTCAGTCTGTGTAAATCTGTTGGAGTCTGTTTCAGTCTGTGTGAGTCTGGTTGAGTCTGGGTGATTCTGTGTGAACCTGTGTGAGTCAGGAGGGCCATATGAAGTGTGTTGCATTGCTTTTGTGATATTGTGTGATTTTCGTGTTATCAGAGAGAGAGAG